TGAATAGTAATGAAAGTGCATGGTTCTCTATTATTTTAATTAAATTTATTTATTTTCTTTACCTCCTAGTATCAGCCCTCTCTTCCTAGCCTACCTCACACAGATCCACCCCCCCATTCTACCCTCCCCTTGTTTTTTTTTTTTGCAAAGGGGAAGCCTCCATCTGGGTGTTAGACCCTCATACCCCAAGCTATTCTCTCCCCTGCCCTGCAAATGAAGTTGCTGTAGGACTAGACACAGCTTTTCCCACTGAGGCCAAACAACGTGGAAAATTTTAGGGAACAGGATCTATAGGCAGTTATGCAACATCTTCAGGGATAGCCCCTGCTCCTGTTGTTGGGGGGGGGGCCCACATAAGGATCATACTGCTCATCAGTACATATGTGCAGTGGTCTTAGGTCTAGCCTAAGTTCAATCTTTGGTTGGTGATTCAGGCTATGAGAAACACCTACACCCCAGGGTTCAGGTTAGTTGATGCTGTTGGTCTTCCTATGGAATCCCTGTCTTCCTTTGGTCCCTCAGTTCTTCTCTCAACTCTTCCATAGGACTCTGGAGCTTCATCTAACATTTGACTGTGAATCTCTGCATCACTTTCTATTGTCTAGTGGGCGGTGCCCCTCAGAGGACAGTTATGCTAGGTTCTTGTCTGCAAGAAAAATAAGAGTGTCACTAATGGTGTCAGGGATTGGTTCTTGCCTATCTGATGGATCTCAACTTGAGGCAGTTAATGGTTTGCCATATTCTCCTTATACACTCTTATCTTTTTCCCTGCACTTCTTTAGGCAGGATATATTTTAGGATAAAGATTTTGTAGGTGAGTTACTGTGCTTGTATCTCTACTTGGAGTTTTGCCTAGCCAGAGGATGTGACCACTTCAGAAACCATATCCTCCAAATGCTAAGAGTCTCAGCTAGAGTTGCCCAGATATACCCCTAGGGGACTTCACCCATCCAAGTGCTCTGTCAGTGATTGCATCACCTACAATGCTGCTTTCCCTGCTCTCTCCCTGCATTCTGTAAGTCTTCAACCCCCACCCCACTCCTTCCAATCCCCTTACCCACCAAGTTCTCTCCTTCCATGGAACTCCAATATCAACTTTGTTCTAACTTTTGAAAAAGATTCAACCATCCTCCCTTAGGCTCTCTTTATTATTTGGATTCTTTGGCTCTCTTGATTATTATATAGTTAACTTGTACTTTATGGCTAATACCCATTTATAAGTGAGTACATACCATGCATATCCTTTTGGATCTGGGTTACCTCACTTAAAATGTTTCTACTTCCATCTAATTACCTGTGAAATTCATGGTGTCCTGGTATTTAATGGCTGAGTAATATTCCATTTTGTAAATCAACCACACTTTCTTCTTAATTGAAGCAGAATTTTAGCAGAGTCTTCACATCTGACATGAATCTGGAGTAATGAAACCTAAGCTTTGATGTAGCCTTTTGTCAGTGATTGTTATCTGAGATTTTATGGGGATATTTTTTGAAGGATTCTCAGATCTTTTGTATAACTATCTGGAGACAAGCCTGGCAAAGCAGAATGAATGTCTCTTATGGCTGAGAATAGCATAGGTGATGGGTCTCCCAAGACAACTCCTAGATAAGAAGTTTTGACATGCTGAAATGGACTTAGTAAAGGTGCATTTTTGTATAACAATGAAAAAGACCTTTGTGGAAGTTGTAGGGTTCAGTCCTTAAGAAGCTGATTCCCTGTTGTTGAGAAGGCCAAATTCATCATGCAGTGGCTGTCCTTTCTTCTACCAGTCATTGAGAGTAACCCAGAACACTGACAGGGAATCAATTCTCTCTGCCTTTCCACATGAAACCCAAAAATATGTTAAAGACAGTCCCTCTCACTGTTTGCCAAGAGCCTACCCAGTCATCCATGTTCCTGAAATGTTTCAATGTCAGAACCTACCTGAACACTGCAAGAGAATATTCTGAGGTAACAAAAGCCTTTCCAACTGTATTCTCCCCAACACAACCTGACTCTGCTTTCAGGTAACAGTTATCCCCAAATTAACCTTATATAGCCAATCTAAATTTTCTTGCTTCCTCTCAAGAACACTCCGACTCCAGGCAATCCACATCCTATGTTTTTGTTTCTATCATCTATTCTGAGGGGTGGGTTCTCATACCCTTTCCCTGGTATTGGAATTCCTCTTCCCCACTACTAAGACCATGAACTTAACAGTTTCAGATGTACATTTAGGACAGGATTTTTACAAACAGATGAGTCAAGAGTGTTCTAAGGGGGAACTAAAACATTGCATCCAGTAGAAGCTCCTTGAGACAGAAAATAAATAGCTCAAAATAGCTTCAGAAAGGCCCTTACATGGACTAGATTCATTAGTGCCCTTTTACTCCCATTAAAGATTAAACAATAAAGACAATGCAGAGTCTAGCCTCTGCCTCCTTCCCTTCAAGCTTCAGAGATCATACCAGCAACATAGAAATAGATACTAGCAGGACTGCCTAGAAAAAACAAAGACCAGCTAGCTATCTACAAAGGACACCCCAACCTGCTGAGCTGCTTGTAGGCTGGCCAATGTGATCCAGGTTCCTAGCTTTGGAATGTGAACTGTCACCCATTCTAGGATTGGCTTTTGTGATATAGCAGATTTCACATCATTTCTGCTCCTCTGAGTAATCCCAATAAAATTCACTGTTCACCCATGTTGGACTCAGGTGGTACATTCTTTGTTCTGTCATTGGTCCCTATTTGGCGTGAATAGAGCTGGTTCATGACTCTCTTGGAATTGTGTCACTCAACAATTTGTCACTAAACCGTGTTCAGTTTTTAACAACATTAAGTACAATTTCTGCTGCCCACATACTCTTGGATATTTGGCCTTTCCCTGGACTAATGTTCACCTTAGCAGTGTCTACATCTTTAAAGAAAATTGGCTCTTTCACTCAGGAGGTATCAATTGCCAATAGCTCTTTAATTACAGGTGATATTTCATGCCTACCTCCCCTAAGTTGGGGTTATCCTTGAGACAAGGTCTCGTGTAGCCAAGGCTAGCCTTAAACTCCTTATACAGCAAGAATAACCTTGAAATCTTAAACTGTGCTCCTCTACCTCCAGAGTACTGGGACCACAGATGCATGACATACCATAACTAGTTACATAAACTTGTTTTTGTATACTTTTTTTTTGTGTGCAATTGTGTGTGGTCAGAGGCCTACTTTTAGGACTCAGTTTTCTCCTTCCACAATGAGAATACCAGAGATGGAGCTGAGACTACCCATCTTAGTGGCAAGAACATTTAACTACCGAGCCATCTCACCAACGCCACTTTAACATTCTAAAACATCACTAAAAATGGTATAAATTCATAAATATAAACTTCATATTTATTTTTGCTTTTTGTCTGGTCACACAGTGATAGATACATGCACATGCATTATACAAATTTAAACTTGTCTATGGTTTTTTTCCCCATTCACTCTTGTCTGTGCTGGTAGGCACATAAAAGTAGCTACAGGGACAGACCAATAATACTGACAGCTTGAAGATGTGGTTTCTTCTAAATAACTGAAAAAAATAAATATTTTATGTCATTGAAAGACTTGGTTAAATATATATATGAATAATGCTGCAAGATCATCCACTTGTCTTATGACAGGGTTACTTGTGGAATTTACAGAGAGCGGAATAAGATGGGGTTTGAGTAAAAAGAGTATTTGCTCTCTTACTTTTAGCATTAGAAGGGATGTGTGATTCTTATGAAAATATGATTTGCAGATGCATAAGACATGTGTAAGACCAAATTAAGTCCAGATCCCAGCATTGAGAGTGGAGTTGGGCATGAAGTTTCACCCCTAGCTGAGGAGCTGTACTTGTTAGCTACTGATATGAAGGGTCAGTTTTCTTTAAGTGCAGCCCCTAGCCATGCTCCAGTAAAAGAACACATGCCCAAGAATGCTTGGAAAACACATATTGGCACTGATAGAAGAGTGAGGGATGACACAACACTGGATGGAAGAGAAGGATGATGGATCTGGGAAGAGTTAATGGGGAAGGATAGTGAATATTATCAAAATATATAGTATTAAATATTCAAAGAAGTAATAAAAATATAAAAATGTGCCTTTTAAATGCCTTCATCCAGAAAAAGAAAGCCCCTAGTTAAATTACTAGAAGGACTAAGAATCAAGTCAGATAAGCCTTTCTTGGAATCTCAGTTTGGGCACAATTGTTCAAAGTCAAGATTAACAAGAGGTTAGAGATGGCTCAGCAGTTAAGCTCACATACTGCTCTTGCAGAATGTAAGTTCAATTCCAAATAACCCATGACAGACAGCTTATAACTGTCTGAAGCTCCAGCTCCAAGGAATCTGACACCCTCTTATAGCCTTCGCAGCTACCTATGCTCATGTGTTTACACACACACACACACACACACACACACACAACATTAACATTTGGAACTGGAAGTCAGTAAACTTGGAAAATGCGTAAATTATTATTTAATAAAAAACACCAAACAACAACAATTTCCATTATCTAAGTGACCAGTCTAGGCCCTTTGCTAAAGGCTTTAAAGCATACCCCATTAAAACTTCCCCCCCAAAACCTTTTAAGGTACCATTACTGCTTGGACCTATTCTATGGCTCTAGTAATCTACTAACAGGCAAATCTCATTTTAAGAGATTTCCATTCCACTACTTAAAAGACACTTAACAGTTTGTTGGGTGATCGAGAGACCAGTATGGAAAAGAAAATGTAATTATATGCCAGTAATTTTAGCATGAATGTCTTTGAAAAACCTGTTTGAATATGGAGTGCAAAAAAAAAAGCCACATCTCTCTTGCAAAACACATCAGAATGTGGAATAAAGAAATCATATCTTCTTAGACTGTTGCTAATCTGTAAGTTTTGTATACAATGGGACAAAATAATGATCCTGCTTTCTTTTTTTGGAGGTGGTTTGAGATCAGAATACACCCATAGTTCTTGCATCAGAATGTCCATCATTTTCTGCTTCTGCTTACACACCGCTTATAATGTTCAAGCAGGGATTTTTCTCTTCCTCAGCAACCAGAAATGCTTGGGTTTCAGTATCAAAATCAGTAATTCGCAATCTAGAAAGATATAAAAAATTAACAGTTTTAATTAGTTGTTCTTGTTTTACAATTTAAAGTTTTTATTATTTATATGTATGTATGTGCCTGGACGAGTTTATATGCACCACATGTGTACAGGTACCTGTATCAGAAGCCAGTTAGTTACTGGACCCTCTGAAGCTAGAGTTATTGCAGTTGTGAGCTGCTATGTTGGGTGCTGAGAACTGAAGTTAATTCCTCTGTTAGAGCAGCAACTGATCTTAACTGAAGAACCACCCTTCCAAACTTCACCCTTATGCTTGTGCTTTCCACCATCTCATTTTCCCTCTATATTTTTTTTCAAGGCCACATTCAGGAGACCCTGATGTTCCGTCTAAATAGCGTATAATATACATGCTATGAGATGGTATGTTGTTACATGTTTAACATCCAGATTCTTCCATGAAAACTGATTTGAGTACTGGAGCAATGGTTCTATAGTTAAGAGCACTGGCTACTCTTGAAGAGAACCCTGGTTCAATTCCCTCATTGAAACTTACAACTATCTGAAACTCCAGTTCCCGGGGATCTGATACCATTTCCTGACCTCCAAGTGAGAATATACATGCAGACAAAATATACACACACATAATTAATTTTAAAAAATGAAGGAAACAAATTTGTTGGTATGTGTGTGTGTACATGTTTTCCACCTTATCTTTGTGAGTCAGGGTCTCTCGCTGAACCTACCATTCATGGACTGGCTGGCCAGTAAGCTACAGGGAGCTTCCTGTCTCCACCCTTCTCCCTGGCCCTAGGTATATGACATATAAGACCATAATCAACTTTTTTTTACGCGGATGAACTCAGGTTTTCATACTTCTGCTGTAAGTACTTTACTTGCCTAAACCTCTTTGCAGATTCTACTCTGACCATCTCTGCACTATGAATTCAACATCTCAACTGTTTTCTATTTCAGTTTGATGTCTATACCCAGAATGGTGATAGGAATCACTGAAACTCCGTCTAAGTCTTAGGGTTTTGGTTAGAAGACTTGGAAAAGGCTTGATGATTTTTTTTCTTCAAGTTTGAGAACGTAATTCTTCCCATGACCTGTCTGGTCTTAGTGCTCTAACTGTTCTCATACATGTGCATTCATACACTTACAGTCATAGTCATACAGACCACACACACACACACACACACACACACACACAAACCCTTGTTCCTGTCTCAGTTTTCATTTTATATTAATTAATTATCTATTATTGTAATAAAACATCATGACCAAGGCAACTTCCAGAACAAGTGGATTATTTCCATAAAATATCTACAGTTCCTACAGGATTAGAGTCTATCACCGTGATGCCAGGTAAGAGTTGTTGCAGAAGAAAGAAGCTGAGCCACTTCTTGAACCATAAGCATGAAGCAGAGAAAGTTCATACATGGGCTTTGAGGTTTTGCAATCTCAAAGTCTGTCCTAGGGACATGCTTTCTCAAGCAAGATTACACTACCTATACCTATCTAAATAGCAATATGAACTGCAGACCAAGTATTCAAACATCTGAACCTGTAGAAGACATTTTATTCAAATCATGTTATGTATATTTTTATGTGTCAAGTATTAACCATATGAATGAACCATGATCCTAGGGCATATTTTAATATAGTAAATGCATTTCTGAGACTTTCTATGGTGGTAGAAAAGAGAACACCACAGAAACTTACTTAGTTTCATAAGATCTGCCACATTATCTGATCTGTATATTCTTATTTTATCATGTCAAATGTCAATGCTTACTTTCCAAATCAAATCAAAATAACATATACCATGTTCCAGCATGCAGAGTAAACATGGCTGAATTGGAATCAAATGCAGAGCTAGAAGGCTCAGACAATGACAGTTAACTCACCTCTTTCTTTCTTTCTTTCTTTCTTTCTTTCTTTCTTTCTTTCTTTCT